TGTTGTTGGGGATGATAGAATCGCAGAGACCAAATGAAGGAACTAACATTTGTCATGGCATCTCAAAAGGAAAAGGGTACGGATAAAAAAGAATTCAAATAATGACAAGTTCCTATATTTGAGACAAATTATATCTCAAAGATATAAGCCTACAGGTTCAAGGTGGCAAGCAAATCCAAAAGAAGACAATCTCCAAGCAACCACCTCAAGACACACCATACTCAAGCTTCTGGAAACCAAAAGCTAAATCCTGAACGTAGTGAAACAAAAAGAACATCGTATCCAGCTGAGGAAGAAAACCTTAATGACCTACTTCTCAACAGAAACCATGGAGGAGAGAATAAAGACACACAACATTTATCAAGTGCTCAAAGAACTGACAACTCAGAATCCTATAGTCAGTGAAAATACTCTTGAAAAATGAAAGGGAAGTCAGATGAAGAAGGAAAGAAAGAATGCAGGATAGCTATATTAGTATCAAAGAAAGGAAGATTACCAGGAACAAGAGAAACATTACATGATGAAAGAGTCACACCACTAAGACAGTGAGACATCAAACAATAGAGTGCAAAGCACTGTAAAAGATGACAAATTCAAAGTTCTAACTGGAGATTTCAATCTCTCTCAAAAACTAACAAATCCATCAACTAAAAATATGCAATTATTAGAACATTCCACACAACACAATGTTGTCAAGCTCGATGGTAAAGATACCAAAATAGGCACATAAAACAACTCAAAATATTGTTAAACAACTGAAAGCAAAAGAGTGGATTCTCTGGTCATAATGGAATCGTATAGCAATCAGTAGAGAATAACAAGAAACTTTAACATCTAGAACCTAAACAATATATTTCATATTAAAGATGTGGGGTGCTCCTAAAAGTGTTGACAGAAATTTATAACCGTAAATGCTTACATTAAAAGTGAAGTCTCAAACAGTAATCCAAATTTCACCTTAAGATTTAACTCAAACTCACGGTCATCAAGCCTAGGCTGACTCACAGAGAACCTAACGGGCAGGGTAGAACTGTCCCTCCGGGTGTCTGAGACTGTAACGCTATCTATGGCAGAAAGAAAAAAAAAGAATAGATAAGCCAAGGCAAACAGTCCCAGAAAACTCAGAACAGAGGGAATAGTCCTGGAAGAAATGCACAACATCTCTATCAGACCATCCAGCTAGCCTGCTTAATAGTGAATGGAATCACTGATTTCCCTTACGTACGCACTAGATGGTTCACCAGCTCGGTATGTCAAGGAAAGGAAATGCAAGTGTACAGTTCAGTGAAGAAGTACAACTAGTTGCAGATGACACGATGGTCTACCTAGAAACACCCAACAACTCTACAGATCAACAACAAAAAGCCCAAGTATCTTCCAGGACTACCAGCAGTTCAGCTTTAGTTCAACTTTCAAGATCAACATACAAAACAACTACATTTCTAAAGAGTGGCACCATACATGTGAAAACAGACATTAAGAAGGTTATCCACAATCTTAAAAAATAAATAAAAAGTTTCCATAACTTTTTAGTTACATTTTTCTACAAATTTTTGTCCATCCCCCTTATAAATCTAATACAACATGTGCAAGAGTTGCATGGTGAAAATAACAATATATTGATGAATGAAATAAAAGATCTAAATAAACGGTGAGACATACATTACATGTTCATGGATTGAAAGATTCTACACCATAAAGATATGAATTTTCCCCATCTTGATACACATACATATATATTTTTTCAGATATAATTTCACTTTAACAAATTTCCAATAAAAATCTCATTAAGATTTGAACCAGTTAAACAATTTTGGAGCAAAGTAAGAATAAATTGGGAGAAGTTATTCTACTTGATTTCAAGATTTACTATAGAAGTACATTAGTGGAGATGGTGTCACACCGGTGAGGGATAAACATAGATTAATGGAATAAAGAACCCAGTAATAGTCTCACTCAAGAATGGCCAAAGACATTTTGACAAAGGTGCTAAGGCCATTCAATGGTGCTAGAGCAACTGGATATCTACTGAGAAATAAGTGAACTTCTCCCTAAAACTCATGCCTTACACTAGAGTCAACGAAAAATGGGCCATACATTTAAATAATGAAACTTTTTAGAAGTAAGACATTTTCTGGATCTAGGTCTTGGTGGGGTGTTCTTAAAAACACCACCAAAAGATCGATCTATAAGATAACCTTTTTAAAAAAATCAATAAATTAAGACTTCATCAAAATTAAAAAATCTTTGCTTAGTGAAAGACCCTGTTAAGAGGATGAAAAGACAACCTAAAGACTGAAAGAAAATATTTGCAAACCACATATCTGACATAGGACTCATATTTAGAATACACTAAGAACCCTGAAACTCAAACTGTAATAAAATATAAATATAAACCAACCAAATTATAAAATGAGTACAAGATATGAAGAGACTAAAAAAGGATATATGGATGGCAAATAAGCACATGAAAAGATGTTCGACATCACTCGTCATCAAGGAAATGCAAATTAAGACCACGATGAGGTATTACTACACACCTATCAGTACAGCTAAAATAAAAAATAGTGACAATACCAAATCCTGGCGAAGCTTCCGAGAAACTGGATCTCTCAAACATTTCTGGTGGGAATGTAAAAGGGCACGGCCACTCTGGAAAATAGTTTGGCATTTTCTTAAAAAACTAAACAAACTTAACCATATGACCCAGCAATTGCTCTAAGGCATTTATCACAGAGAAATGAAAACTTAGGACCACACAAAAATGTGTACACGATTTTCATGGCAGCTGTATTTGTAATATTCCCAAACTGTAAACAACCAAATGTCCTAAAATCGATGAATACTTAAACAAACTGATACATCCATACCATGGAAACCACTCAGCAAAAGTAACTGAAAACTACGGATACACGCAACACACAAGTTGAATGAATCTCACGGCATTTGTGCTGAGTAAAAAAAGGCAATCTCAAAAGATCCTGTTTTGTATGATTCCGTTTATACAACATTGTGGAAATGACACAATTCACATGATAAAATGACAGAACTATACACACACAATGTACTAATGTTAACATCCTGGATTATACTTATTTAAGATAGAAACATTAGGGGAAACTGGGTGAAGGGCAGCTGAGACCTCTGTTACTGTAAGCTTCCTAGGAATCTACTATTATTCCAAAATTAAAAAAAAAAAAAAGTAAACGTATACACACAAAATTAAGGGAGCGGGGGAAAAAACCACTTTGCTCTGCCCAGGAAAACGTGAAATATTCCAAAATCCACATCAAGAAAATAAACTGGATAACTATTTCTCCAACTTGACAATCTTAAAGTTTCCAACATCACCAATAACCTCTCTAAACTATCACACGCCAAAAAAAAAAACAAAAAACATTTCCATCAATGTTAACCTGTATACCAAGTATCAAAAACCCACTGCCACTGTGTCAATTCCAACTCATAGCGCCAACTATAGCCATCTACTTTTGTAATGTAAATAAAAATGTATTAAAATGCACAAACAAAAAAAATTAAAACAAACAAAAAACATGCACAAAAACCTATTGGCTTCTAATAAGGCTCTTTAACATATCAGATATCAGAGAACAATGTAACCGAATAATTTACAGTTTTCATCTGGTAAGAACATAAAACATAACGCCTAAAACATGAGTTGCTGTCAATCAATTCTGGCTCACGGGTGACCATGTATCAGAGTCGTTTTTAATGGCTGATTAAGTAGATCACCAGGCTTTTCTTCCACCGCACTTCCGGGGTCAACAAGAACACTCAATTTTTGTGTTAGTAGCCAAGTGCAGTAATAACATTTGAACTACCCAGGGACTTCCTATTAAAGCATAGGTTCCCAAACTTATTTGGCCTACTGCCCCATATTCAGGAGAAAAAAAAAAAAATTTTTTTTAACTCAGCGCCCTCCCTAACAATTAAAAACTTTTGCGCTACAGTCCATAATCCAGGATAAAGTATAAGTATTTGTTTTGCAGGCTCCTCTGGATTGTTAAAGCGCTGTCCTGGTGGGAGATCATCCATGTTGGGAAAGACAGTATGCTACAGCAAACAAAATGGTAATATCATGACTTGGGGAAAAAAAAAAAGCAATTGCCTATCTATTTTATTTTTTAAAGCTGCAAAAAACAAAACAAAAACTGACTCCCCTACAAAATTCCAGCACACAAACACACACACACACATACAAACACACAAAGAAAATGGAAAGACAGCTTAACAGCAGTTACTATACCTTGGAAAGTATCAAATCTCCTAACCATCGCACACAATCAACATAATTCCTATGTATGTCTCTAGTAGAAAAGTCAGGGAAGTGAATTTTCTGAGAAATAAATGGCCTGGGGGAAAAAAAGGAAATGTCAAAACTTAAGTACATCCACTAATTTTCAATTTGTATATTTCTAAAACGTCAGAGAAAATAGATGACTATTAATCTGTTTCCCTACCTAAAGAACACATTCTTCTCTGTTTATTGAGGGCTAAAGTTGCATTCCATCTTTTGTTTCGGCATTCTTTCCATTAGCACTCATATTCAATTTTATTTGTGTCTGATAAATGTTCATGCATAAAAATCACAACTTCCTGCTGTAACTATATATAGGCCCAAATGAAACACGTCAATTCAGGTTTTCTAAAGAATGGTAAGCAGTGAAAAGGATACTAAGAAATCTAATCAATTTTTTCAAAATTGATCATTAAAGATCTATGACTACCCATACAACTAGAATTTTTAAAAAGATAGTCTTCCCATAACAATTCAATAACATTCCAAAGATTACTCCTGAAAATGATAAATCTCTGAAAAATATAAATTTCTGAAAATGACTACTAGCAGAAGGTTGACATTATTAGCTATGGCCTTCTCCATACAACTATTAATTACACTTAAAAAATGAAAATTATTTTCACAAAAGATACTTGTGAGAAGGCAAGCTTCCACCAATTCTAGAATAAGCCGAACATTTCTAATCATATAAGTGATGCATCTTTTAATATTGAAATAACTGTACAACTATAATATGCATGAATTAGTTATGTCTCGGGCAAATTACATGTCCTTTCTTTACCTTTCCCCCAAGGTAAATGTTGTTGGGCTGCGCTATATCAAATAATTCTTCCCATTCAAATTTGAAGACATTTCATTTATAAAACACTAAAGTATTATTAATAATCTGGTATAAAATTAACTGTTTTAATGAAAATAATTGCTTTTTAAGCCAAGTACATATATTATAATGGTATAGCTCAAGACTAGCACAACCATATTTTGTCACTTCTATAACATGCCCACAAATATAAGGCATACAAGGTGACATGGTGATGGGGTTGTGCAGAATGCAACATGTAAAGTGTGCATTATGAATGCAAAGCTCTAGAAAGGAAAAAAAAGTTAATTAATATTGTTAGCCCCGGTGTTTTAAAATAGAAATTTGAAGGTTCTATTAACTGTTAGAGGCCACTGAGGCCTGATCAATGTTAGTACAATGAAATGCACTGATGCTTATAAACTAAGAATCTGGCGGTAATCTGCTTTGTTAACCAGAAAATAACTCTACCTCTTGGTCAAAGCAAAGTGCAAAGCTAACACAGACAGGTGATGATTAACAGAGAAAGTGTTACTTATAGCCTTGTATGGTTCTGAAAAGATCATCAGAGCGCAGTAAGAACTATGGGTCACAGCTCCTTCTTCGGAATTTTCTTTGTAATGAATTAATTAAGCATCATGTAATGGAAAGCACTGTATTATCACAAATTAAAAAAACCCCACTTTAAAATAACTTACAATTTTTATATTTATAACTAAGAAAAAGGATCAATATGCTAATAAGATGAAAGCTCAATTCAAAAGATGTTTAAAAGACTGAGCTACAAACATTGTTACATTAAAAATAATAAACTCTAATGAGGGCAACAAATGTATAGATGTGCTTTACACAATTGATCTATGTGTTGTGATGAACTGTATGAGCCTCAATAAATTGATTTAAAAAATAATAATAATAAAAAACTCTCATTTTAAATAGATGAATTCATGTAAGGTAATTAAATCTCAATAAAGGCTTTGGAAGGGCTCCCGCCGTGCACAGGGAACGTCCGGTCCCCTGTACACACGTGCGCACACGCAGGCCGAGCAGTGCTCGGGAGTCCACGCTAGGCCTCCGCGGGAGCAGACAAGGGAGCCATGGGGGGGGGCAGCCAGCACCCGCCGGGTCACCTTCGAGGCGGATGAGAATGAGAACATCACGGTGGTGAAGGGCATCTGGGGTGTCAGTGCCCCAGCATTAACTGCGCTAACACACTGCTCGCTGCACCTGCCTTTGGGACGTCACAGCTTGGGAAGTCTGATGCCTGAACCTCGTCAATAAAGCCACATTCTGACATCCCCCCCCTCCCCCAAAAAAAAGGCTTTGGAAGGAGTTTTAAAACTCAATGTTGGAGAGGTATAAACAATGCCAATGCGTCACAGGAAATTGTTTTATATGCCACAACTGTTACCTGTTGGTTTTATTTGGGTTATAATCATAGGAGTCCTTGATTGCATTCATCATTCTCTTTGAATTAATCCTCCAAAGTTTAAGAGAGTGATCCATACCACAGGACATTATTTTTTCACCCAAAAGATCATAATCCTGTTTATAAAATAGAAGTATAGATTAGTACAGACAGCATAGTTCCAATTTCCACTTGATGTTAATAAAACAGCCAAAATTGAATTTCAAATTATAGTGAGGGAACTTTATAACGTTCGTGGATTAATTCCAATAGCTTTTAATTTCACTTTTCTGGGGACTTTTTGAAGCCACCTCACACTTACATTTGGGTTTCATCTACAGAGGCCTTAAATCAGATTGTGTGCTTTTTCAAAATGTTCTTTTAACATGGCCCTGCTTGATGCTCACTCGCATGAAAAGATCATTGAAGATATGGGTGCTATAGCAAAGTTTAGTGAAGAAACCAGATGGTGTCAGGCTTTAGAAAGACTACTGTCTAAAGAATACTTTAGAAAGAATACTGTCTTTGAGGCTTATCTTAAAATAAACAGCCATATATGTGAGGCGTCAACTAAGTCCACATGAAAGAAGCACACCAGTCTGGGTGATCCAAGAATTGTAAATTAAAAAAAAATTCTAACCGGAAAGGAGGGAATAGTAGCATAGCTTAAATTGTGAACACCTGGTCTCCAGAGGGCTATGGATGACAGAGGAAACCCAAAAATCCATTAGCAGGGTTCACACTTGGATAAACTCTCCAGAGTGGTGGGGTGGGGTGCAGCGGGGAGGAAGACTCTCCAATGAATACCCTCTGACCATGGTCAGGGGATGTGAATACGCTTGCCACATGCAGAGAGCATTGTAAAGTTGATTATGTCAGTTGTAGTTAGATCATTTGATCTCCCCTTTGGCCCATTTTTAAGTTGTTTCAGTTTTAAATATTTTCTGCTTTCTCTTTGAGGTTTTTATGTTTTGTCTGGTCACTGTTGTTGGTTTGTTTTCTTTATAAGATTTTATATGATTGAGTTTTGTTTTACTTGATTTTCTGTACATGAAATCCAGGCTAGGTAGATCTATAAGGGCAGTAAATAGGGGCATGGTTGGGGAGGATGGGGGGAAATGGGGAGTAACGACAATAAGAAAATGTTCTGAAATTAACTGTGATGACTGCACAAATCTTAATATGTTGAATTTAATTAAACTATATTATATGTGAAATATATGCCAAAATTTTTTTTCTTAAAAGTAATGTCAGCCAGCAATAAAAAAAGATGTACAATTTTGACAATCCATTTGTCGTTGTTTAACAAGTGTGCGTGAGCTTTTTTTTTTTTGGCGTGAGCTTTTATTACTTAGAAGAATTTTAACACAATTAGTATATATCTCTTATACTAGCTAAAAGTTTTTCTTTTGACTAAAATGCAAGAATGAATAAATTTAAAAAGATATTTTTTTAAAGTAAAAAAAAAGTACAGATGTGTTTGACACAATGGATGGATGTGTGGATTGTGATAAGAGTTGTATGAACCCCCCATTAAAATGATTTATTAAAATTTAAAAAAAGAATAAATCCCTAATGATAAATGCTATCTTATTTTATTAGGCACTCTAAATTCATTTCCTACTGAAGTTCTAAACATATGGTAAAATCATCAAAGTGACAAGTGTTACTTTTGACTTTTCCTTTGTTCAACTCTGATGTCCTCAAACAGATGAAATTTTATTTTATCTGGACTTCTGTGTTGACATTTAAGAGTTACATTGCTTTTAGGGTTCATTTTAAAAATAGGTTAAAAAAGAAAAAGAAAAAACTAATAAAGGAATCATTATTTCAAGCCGTGTTTACTTAAAATATGTAGCTCAAGGTTCTTGACAGGTTAATTAATTCTTCTGGTTGTAAACTCCTATAATACAGAGACGTATATACTGTCCTATTCCAAATCATTTAAAGAATTAACTTTAGAATGTTGTATTCAAGGATGGATCCCTTATAAACATAGCTATTTTCTGTTACTCTAACTCAGTATTTCAACAAGTGGGCAAAACTTCCACCCTGCCTGGGGGTGGGGGGGAGGCAGGGAGGGTGTGGTGTCACGAAAACGACCCAGGGAAGCTGTGAAAGAAGATACCCACACTTTATTTATCCTGTGCTATAGCACTAAACATTTTTAATTGTCAAGGGAGGCTGAGTTGAAAAATTTTTTTTTAATGAGCTGGGACTGGTAAGCCAAATAGGTTTGAGAACCTATGATCTAACCACCTTTAGAATTAATAACAGACACTATTTTAAAAGATTCTAATAGTTAAGGCCAGCTGTTGACTGAATTCATAAGTCTAGTTGCTGCCACTACTCCTTTATGTTACTTTGCCAAGAGTCAGTAATTCTTATTTTGGAGTTCTTGATAATCAGTGGTAGATTTGGTTCTTGGGCACTTAACAGCAGGTGTAGAATGCAACTGCAATTTCAGATGATGCTCTGTTGATAGTGTCCCGTGTTCTCACAAAGGGGTATAAACCCTAAGCCTGGGGATAGTTAGTACCTCCAGTATTATACATGCTGCTTCTGTGTTCTCCAAAAAAAAAAAAGCTTTTTAACTTTTCAAGACAAAATAATTCTCTGCATTGATTTTCGGGGGAGGGGGGGTTGATACCAGGGGTTTTCATTAATGAAAGGCATGCTGGACCAAGGAACACTTCTGAAACTGTTAGGAAATATGGTTCTTGATAGGACTCATACGTCCCTTTGGACTCTGTACCACCTTTTAGATCCCTAGACAGGTATATATATATACAACTTGTTCATGGGTCATGAAAGGATTGAAGGAAAACTATAAAATCATAAGCTCAATCTAAAATTTTAAACAGTTGCTACCAGAGCAGGAAGCAAAACAATCAAACTGGCCTGTTAGTTACATAGACTTACTAGGGCATCTGTTTCCCTTCACTGTGACCTAATTTTCCTCCAAATAAATTTGGTTTTGAGAGTTCTAGGGCATTTTTCCAAACAAAAATCTAAAGAATAATACAACACTACATGGGTCACAGAATGGCGCCTGCTTTCAGAGTTTTATAAGGAAGTGAGGAGCTGCAAACTTATGGCAGAAATCAAACTATAAATGTAAAGCTACAATAAGAACTGAAATCTTTCTAAAAATATTTGTACTTTATTATAATAGACCAATATAATGATAACATGTTTATCCTGAAATGATAATCAAAATGAAGTTTGCATAGCAACAAAAAACAAACTCACTACACCACTGGGACTTCTTGTACAGCAGTATTCTACCCCGAAACAATGGGAAGCAACTACCTGAAGATCAGTGCAAGCAAAATAAAACCTCACGTAACTTCTATTTCATCTTGAAACGAAACATGACACAGCTACTTCCTGGATTACTCGTTTATCCTTTTTCTTTCATGAGGCAAATAGCAAAACAAAGTTAACATGGTGATTTTAGATGAATGAGAATCTAGAAACTGGTATCGATAAAGTACAAGTAATCAAAGGACATAAGAACAAATACTTTTTACTTGCTTTATTCCTTTATCCTGTATGTCAGATTTAAGTGACATGTCTACTTGCTAAGCTATATAAAACGAGCACTATGCTTTTTATACTGAGAGGTCTACGGGAATTGTTCAGCTATGTAAACTTGATGGTCCCTTCCCTATAGCATTTGACTTACAGCACTTAGAACTTCATCTCTGTGCCCTTCTACTCCTCCAAATATTGCCACGAGAGTGTCTGTTTGGATATTCCATAATCGTAAAGCATGATCTAGTATAAAAATATAACAAAAAAGATGAACTATTGTCATTCATTATGTACTTTCAAAAGCCTTAAAGAAATGAAGTTGGACTTATATTAAAAAACAAAGGACCTGACTATAATAATTGAACTATAAACAGAAAAAGACATTAAGAGCATTGTTATAGGATTAGCCTAATTATGCCTCTAGTCAGTCACAGCCAGCAGAGGATGGCTTGTACTGCTATCATATGTCCATGCACAAGTAAGAACAATTTAATTTTCAAGATTTGACATGATGAATGATTTGCCAAAGTTAAAAAAAAAAAAGACCGGAAGGTCTGTATAGCTCCAGAATACAGTCAATGTGCCAATTCAGGCATAACAAACATTGTAATGTGTTGTCCTAAGACTGAGAAACATTTTAGAACTGTACTGGAGAACTTGACATTGAAAACTATTTTGTTTTTTTTGTATCTTACCTTTACTTACTGACAGGAGGAGATTTGGATCTCTGGGGTGGAATTTCAGTTCATTGATAGCATTTCCATGACCAACATAGTGCTACAATAAATTGAAAGCATTTCAAGATGAATCTTAAAAATCAACAGTCTCCATTCCTTTCATAAATCTTGATGGCAAAACTGAAGTAGAGGTTCTCAACCTTGGCTACACTTAAAAATCACTCAACTAAACGGCTAAAAGGGGGAGGGGTGGAGATGCTCAGGTCCCAACTGCAGATAATCTAATTTTGTTGAATTAAATGAAGTTCAGGCATTGGTAGTTTTAAAACCCCAAGGTGATCTCTACTGTGCTGCCAGCTAACAATGTCAATTTAAGGTGATTTGCAAAACTTTATAAGTGTTTCCTAAAGTGAATCCCTGGGGGTGCTGAAATGATTGAGGGGTGGGGTGGGGGGCACTGCTAAGTAATTTTTTCCCTGAAAAGTGGGTGGTAGGTCAAATAAGTTTAGGAGCCTATGGTTTATAATTTACCAAGCAACACTTTCCAGTTTATAAGTGCCTCAGTCTATACCCCTTTGGGCAAGGTTAAAAGGCAAGGTTAAAGGGGAAAAGTGGTTAAAAAAGAAAACCAGGCATATAAGATTTCCCCACATTTTGTCCTTTAATTTATCCAATGTAACAAATGTCTCAAAAATAACCATTTCTACAGAAAGCAATAAGCAATGTACAAATTAATTTCATTGCTTTTAAATTCACCATGACAAGTTTTCATAGGTGCACACTCAAAAAAACATTGATCTAGATTTTAACTTAACAACAACAAAAACTCCTCACCTTTATGCACTGCATTGTTATAGGATTGATTATCCTAATTATGCCTCTCGAGCCTGCCACAGCCAGCAGCGGATGGCTTGTATTGCTATCGTACGTCCATGCACAAGTATAAAAGTTTTCATCAGCCTAAGAAATGCCACGGTTAAGAAATTGTTTTTGAAAAATAAGTGTAAAAAATGATTATAATACAGTACCAAAATCTACCCAAAACTGTTGTTTTTTATAAAACTCTCTTTATCTCATATACCCAGACTTCTACAATGCTAATTGTATGTCTAAAACGGTGCCTAGCAAACAGCCCCTCCACTCAATTTTGATGATCAATTAAGTTAGCTGTCTGTACTACTCAATGAAGTCCTACAAGTACAAAAGCAGCTGCAGATACCAACTTCCAAATACATGCTGCACTGTTTGCTAAGCCCTATTCTACTCCAGCATTTCTGATTATGCATCGCTAACTAACTGCTCAGGATTCCAGTTTCCACTGAATCTAGAAGACTGAATTGTTTTGTTTGCTGGGTTTTGCAACTGCATCTGGAGGAAACATCTTATCATGAAGTTTTTGATACTCTGTCAATCCTTAATGGAAGCCTGGTGACACAGTGGTTACATTCAGTTGTTAACCACAAGGTCAGCAGTTAGAAACCACCAGTTACTCCTTGGAAGAAAGATGAAGCTTAGAAAAGATATTTGCTGAGTTTTGTTTAATCCTTGATTTATCTTAAAAAACAACTTTTTCCTTCTAAACCACCTATGTTTTGCAATATTTATGTCCTAAACTGTGTGTTTATTCTACCTCCTCCCAACTCTCTCATACAGATTCTGGTAATCAAAGATTTAATGTAATTTATCAGTCACGAATTCTGACCAACCCAAGTTAATTATCACATCTTCATTATAATAGTAATTCTAGGCAAAGACAAAAACACAGGAAGTTTTTGCGAGTCACTGTCAATAGAACTAATCAGTTGAAAAAAGTTTCAGTGGATTTATTGAAAATCAATCCCTTCAAAGATATTTAAAAACCTCAAAAAAGATACATCAGCATCCACATAAGATTGCAACAACCGGATTTCTCCTTGGGAGTGACATTCATATAGGGTAACCTAATGAAAAAAACAAAAAACAATAAATTCACTCAGATATAGAAAGCTACTGAAAAAATCCAAGGAGACAAATGGAAAAATTTAGAAAGACAAGTACAAGTAATTGAGAGTAGTACATGAAACAGACAAATGTTTAGTCAGAGCTAAATATTAACTTGAATTTGACAATTTCTAGAATGCTTCACTTAAAAGAAAAATGTTTTCCAATCATTCCACTTGAGCATTACAGAAACACCCAGGTCTAGTAATTGACCCATACTCCAGATAAACCCCTGAGCACTCACCCTGTTGCTTCCTACAGTTGCAAACACTAATGGATCTCCTTCTTTACTATGCCAGTTAAATTGAACTCCAAATAATGGTTGGTTATGATCTTCCTATAAAACAATCGTTAACATTTACAAATTAAAAAATGGCAGTAAGGCAATATACAGCCAACCTTATTTTTCAGAAATAGAAAATTAACAAATGCCCTTAAAGAGCCAGCACAGTTCCCCCTTGCATTCAGTGCACCCTACTGGCTTTAATATCTTCTTGTAATGTGTGTCAGATTCCATTCAAATTTCTAGTTGCTTTCCATTAAACCCATTACAGTACTTCAAATAACCTTCTACTTGGGTCTTACTAGAAAATTATCCCCAAATAACCCCCAAATTAAAAAAAAACAAACTATAAGTTGCTCTCACTATTCATAAAGTAGAATATTCTTATGAAACCTTATGAGTAGAAATGTAACAAAGCTAAGCTGCAATTATCAATAGGCTTATATGAGAAAAATTTAACCTATACCAAATCCACATAAACTCTAAAATTGTACTAACATATAGTATATTCACAGACACACCTCAAAGCTACAGTGGTTTGATGCTGAGCATAGTCCGTGGGGCAGGGGCTGGGTGGTATCACTCTTGCTACTCATGGTATTATGAACCACCTCTTTAACAGCGTACAGCAAAACAAATGCTGAACACTAGTTTCACACTTTTTGCCTTTGGAAGTTTTTTGGTAAAAGCAAAAATCCTCTTTGGATTTCTCTCAGCTAGTGAAAACAGACACTACTAAAGGTAATTTTGCAAAAGCTAAGTGGCTTAAAGCCAATGCTTGGGAAGGGAGGGAACAGGAGCTATCCTGCTGCTGTTGGGTGACAGTGGAGTGGTTCTGACTCACAAGGACATCCAAGTCTACAGAATGAAACCCTGTGACCACTTCATAATCATGTGTGAGCCCGAGAATAAACAAGGACTACGAGAGAATTATTCATGGTTGTCCACGGTAGTTATTTTCCAGGCTTAGGACTTTACTAGCTATCTGCTGGCATTGAATAGGAACTTTAATGTCCATTTTAGGCCATTATCTCTTTTAAACTGAACAACTTTAATTTTAAAAATAATTTATGAAGCTACAACTTTAGACTTCTGAATTATGGAGATGGCAGTTAAGAGTACTTTCTAGAACTAGTACCTAAAAACAGTAATCCAGGAAAATAATAATGAATACCCCTCCTCTCTTTTTAGTATGCTGAGATTAATTTTTTTTTGTGCTTGGCTGCTATCAGTAGCCCCTAACTCTCAGCAACACCAGGTTCAATGGAAATAAATGCAGCATGGCCCTGGCCCAGCAGCATAAGCAATTGTGGACCAGACCCTGGAGATCCACAGAGGTTTGAACATTGATTTTTCAGACTGTTGCAGTTCAGCATCATAGTAAATTACAAGCCTTTGTGGGTTGATGTTTTGGAAGTAGGACCACCAGGCTTTTCTTTCTATCCTGTTTTAGTTCAGCATAATAAATAAATCGCAAGCCTTCACCGGGCAGGCAGATGGTGGGTGCATACAGGTACACTGTGCTGGCTATATGTGAGCCTAGATCTCTTGCCTAGGTGAGAAATCTACTACTGAACCACTAAATGTCTCCTCTCTCTCCTCTTTTGGCTTCATTTGATAAACTGAGCAATTAATTTTACTAGAGACAGGAAAAATTATGTCATACAACCATAGCATCGTAACGTATTTCCTAGACTTAACCTAAAATTATATACATTTAGAAAAGCTTTTAGCTTAAATATGTTTAAGAAAATGTTAAGTGCATGTTTATTTAGTATAGGAAAATAAACGATCATGGTTTCCAAAATGTTTTTTCCAGTTTAGTCATAGTAATGAAACTGATGCTGGGAAACTGGAATGGACTTGAATTTGTAAAATGTGGGTATGACAGAATGACAATCAGGAGTTGATGCCCTGCTACAACTGAGATCTCCCCTATTTTCTCAGTCCTGCTAATAATTCAATCTCTCATGTCCAGCTCCTCTCCTCCAAGAGTCCAATACATCTGCATGGAGCCTCCTGTTTCATGGCTGCAACCCATCATTTGTCCCACTCTGGTTATCATGCCAGCATGCCCACATTCTACAAATTCTGACTCAATTGGATTTTGCTGTGTCATCCATGAATAAGCCAGTTTGGGGCCTTAAAAAGAAAAAAAAAAGAAAACTGCAAGTAAATAGAATTAAAACCTCATAAGTACAGCAGTATTCCTATTTACAAAGAAAATACAAATACCATTGAAGAATCAGTGATTTATGTCACCTCAATTCATTGTTTTACCAATACTGAAAAGTCAGTTTCTGAAGTGCACATCAACAGTTCACTGAATGCTTTTGTACATACCTTGAGACTATTTACACATTTGAAAGAATATTTGCATTTTTTTGACTTCCATTTTCCCTTTCCCCAACTTTTCCTTCCAGGTGCATTTGCTGTGTTTGTAGGTGTATCAGGGCGTTCCGTGTTTGTACCACTTTCTATACTGACAGCATCATCCTGTAAATAAAGCAGGGAAAATTGCATGAAATTGCTGGGCAGGATTTAGCAGCAAATGACATTATTCTGGATAGCTGCTGGATGATGGAGGGAAAAAGGTAATAAGTAAACTGTGCAAGAAATGGTAACATTTATTACTGCCTCCAAAGGATAGAAAAGTAATCTTTCAGCTATATGTTAAAATCTCTGAATACCGGATATTTCAGCAAAAACACTCATCAGAATGATGACAAAGATAACAGCAATACTGCCTTGAAACAATACACAGGTCTGTGTCAGTCATTTAATACAATGGCTTATTTAATCTGTACAACTGTTCTGAGCACAAGAGTTTCTGGATGGCTGGAACAGAACACTCACGAGCCCACACAGACACACACACCCTACACACCTACCCACTCACCTTGGAAGACAGGGCTGGAAAGCTGCCTTGTAGTTGTTTCTGATTCAAAAGATCTTATAGGTCAGCCAGTAGCAGTACTGCCCCATAGTGTGTCCAAGGCTGTAATCTTTATGGAAGCAGATTGCCTGGTCTTTTCTCCCCTAGAGAGGCTAGTGGGTTCAAACCACAAGCCCTTCTGTTGGTTAGTAATTAAGCCACAAGGGCTCCTTTCACTTCAGAGTCCCTCCAGCCACTGCCATCAATCCCGACTCAATGACTGTACGGACAGAGAGCACCTGCTCCACAGGGTTTCAGTGACTATACAGAGTTACAGAAATAGACTGACCCATCTTTCTCTTGTCGAGGAACTGATCAAACCTTGGTAGCAACCCAATGCTTAACTGATGCACCACCAGTGCTCCGTTATACAGTAGTCCTTAAATTCAAACTGTAGGAAGCCTTGTTTCATCAATTACCATTAACATTTATTTTTTAAAATAATTTTAAAAATCATTTTATTGGGAGCTCATATAACTTTATTTTAAATCATTTTATTAGGGGCTCATACAACTCTTATCACAATCCATACATACATCAATTGTGTAAAGCGCATTTGTACATTCATTGCCCTCATCATTCTCAAAACATTTCCTCTCCACTTAAGCCGCCCCCCCCCACCCCCCGCATTAGGTCCTCATTTTTCCCCTCCCTCATGAGCCCTTGAGAATTTATAAATTATTATTTTGTCATATCTTGCCCTGTCCGACGTCTCCCTTCACCCATTTTTCTGTTGTCTGTCCCCCAGGGAGGAGGTCACATATAGTTCCTTGTAATCGGTTCCCTTTCCAACCCACTTTCCCACTACCCTCCCACTATCGCCACTTACACTACTGGTCCTGTAGGGATTATCCTCCCTGGATCCCCTGTATTTCCAGTTCCTATCTGTACCAGTGTACATCCTCTAGTCTAGCCAGACTTGCAAGGTAGAATTGGGATCATGATAGTGGGGGCGGGGAGGAAGCATTTAGGAACTAGAGGAAAGTTGTATTTTTCATCATTGCTACATCGCAACCTGACTAGCTCGTCTCCTCTCCGATACCCCTCTGCAAGGGGATCTCCAGTGGCCTACTAATGGGCTTTGGGTCTCCACTCCGCACTCCCCCCATCATTCACTATGGTAAGATTTTTTGTTCTGATGATGCCTTATACTTGATCCCTTCGACACCTCATGATCGCATAGGCTGGTGTGCTTCTTCCATGTGGGCTTTGTTGCTTCTGCATTAACATTTATTGTGAACAGTCTGGGGGCATATTGCCTTAAGGTCTACTTTCAAATTACTGCTTCCTTAGCTGGCTTTATATTTATATTACAAAGAGTTAAAAACCAACCACAGTTTACTTTTAATTTCCATAACATTGTTCTCAAAGACAATTGCTCTACATCCTGGTTTGGTGAATAGCAGCTGAGGTCTTAAAAACATGAGTGGTCATCTAAGACACAGCTATTGATCTGGACTGATCTGAAGCAAAAGCGTAAGAAAGAACACAAAGACTCAAGGACGAAACTAGTCTACAAGACTAACAGCCAATAGGAACCAAGCCCCATTGTTTTGAGACCAGCAGGAACTAACTGATGCTCCGCTGCCACCACTAACAATAGTCTGATCAGACACACAAGAGAAGATCCTGGATAGGAGAGGATAAAAGTGTAGAGCCTCAAAGTCCTTAAAAAAAAAAAAAAAAAAAGCCAGACTTAATGGACTGGTAGTGTAGAGAATTCCTCAAGATTACTGTCCAACTTGGAACTGAGGTCACCTCTCAGTCAAATAATAGATTGGCTTACATAATACAATTATCACCTGTGAGTAATGTGTGCCTTTAAATAATCATCTGAGACCAAATTATCACTATTTACCCTAGAGGAAAGATAAGAGGAGGTGCAGAAGATTAATGGAAACAAAATGAAAATGGAAATGAGAATACTGACACATTGTGGAAAAATGTAACCAATTCCACCGAACCATACACATAAAGAAATAAACTCATTGCCACCTCATAGCAACCCTGTAGGTTGCCAAGCCTGTAACTTTTTACGTGAGAAGAAAGCCTTGTCTGTCTCCAACAGAGCGGCTGGTGGCTACAAACTGCTGACCATGCAGTTAGTAGCTCAACAACATAACCACTAAGCCACCAGGGCTCCTTTGAACAATACATATAGAAATTGTTAAATAGAAACCTTATTTGCGGTGCAAACGTCCACCAAAAATACAACAAAATAATGATGCTTCCCTTTAAAACTTGGGAAGGGGGGGTTTCTAAACTACAAATGGCCCCCCAATGAATTGTTTTTTAAAAAGTTAAACATACTGATGAGGGGGAAAGAAAAAAACTGGTTAGGTGGCACACAGAAGATGTTTTGGAAATTTTGAATTGTTATTTAATGCATTGTAATTAGCCTTTATGCAAGCAGAAAAGTTTTAAAAATTCAATTTCTATGCTACAATCATAGAGGGGAAATCATTTATATCATGTATACATTTATATACTTCCCTATTTCTCTAACATTCCATTTCTATTACATAGTTAATAGTGTAGAAAAGATATTTGGTTTTCTTTTTAAAAAAATCATTTTATTAGGGGCTCATACAACTCTTATCACAATCCATACATACATCAATTGTGTAAAGCACATTTGTACATTCACTGCCCTCATCATTCTCAAAACATTTGCTCTCCACTTAAGCCCCTGGCATCAGCTCCTCATTTTTTCCTAGATACTTGGTTTTCAATGAAAACAGAATCATCTACAACACACCTTCAGGTTTCTGACTCTGGTCCTCTTCATTACCTTGGTGCTCACTTCACAACTCTTTCCCTCTCCTCTTTTTGCAATTCTTTCTTGGTCAGCAGAGATTCAAATCTTCCTTTCCACTTGGTGGGAAAGTTTTTTGTCTCCATTTGCAATTCATCTCTAGATTTTTTCAAAAACCTAACTAACACCCACTGCCTTTGAGTCAATTCTAACTCCCACTTTAAAAAGGCTCTATAGAACAGAGTAGAACTGCCTCATACAGTGTCCAAGTTTGTAAATCTTTACAGAGGCAAATTCCTATCTTTCTCCCAGAGATGAGCTAGCAAGTTCAAACGGATGATCTTTTGGTTAACACCAGAGTGCTTTAACCACTGCACCACTGGGGCACCTTATATTCCCTTAAAAAATAAAAACAAAAAACCCACCAAACCAAACTTGCTGCCATCAAATGAATTCCACCTCACAGTAACCCTGTAAGACGAAGCAGAACTGCCCATGTGGGTTTCTGAGACTGTATGTAACTGCTCTTCATGCGAGTAGAGAGCCTCAACTTTCCCCTGCAGAAGGGCTAGTGGTTTCAAACTACAGTATTGTCCTTATGGTTAGATGCCTGATGCGTAACCCACTGCACCATCAGGACTCCTCCTCTACATTCCTTAATTCCACTTAAACTTGAGTAGTTGTAACAAAGTCTTTGAGCCAGTTACTACATTTGCAGGGTTACATTAGGTGAGTTACAGGTAAATAAAATCTATCTATACCAGTGTCATCCTAACAGATCTACTTAGTACATGATTCTGGCAGTACTGAATGCTGAGGTGACAGGTGTAACTCTGACTCTGATGTAGTTTCAAGGTTATGTTTCAACTTGGCTGGGCCACGGTTTTCATTTATGCAATGATGGTGTCATTTCCCATTTTGTGATATGATGTGGTCATCCCCCATTTTTGCACAATGTCAATTATCTCCTAATGAACTGATCTTTAAAAGTCAACCATGTTAATTGAAGAAATGGGACAGGGGCCACATATGACCTTTGGGCTGTTTTAGGGAGAAGAATCCAACTCCACAACAGCCATTATTCTTTATCTTATTCTGACACCAGCAGTTGCTCCCCTGTCAGTGTAAGTGTGGAGTGGGTGCCTCACTTATGCAACATTTGCATTTCTGACAGCTCTAAATACATTCTCAGGTGGCACTTCCAACAGTCATTGCCCCGGGCTGCCTCTGCAAGCCTCCCCAAACAATACACTGTAAAACAAACCAAACTCAGCCATCAAGGCAATGCTGACTCATAGTGACACCCCAAACCCCAACTGGGTTTCAGAGACTAACTGTTTAAGGGTGTGGAAAGCCTCGTCTTTCTCCCATAATATAATAAAGGCCTCAGCACTGACTGAGTCAAGGGAAGGATGGCAAGCGTAGCGTACTTCCTCTTGTTCATCCAAGATATCTTACTCTGGCCTTCAAGGTTCTGGGGTTGCAGGTGGGCAAGGGGTGGCTGGGCTTAAAGGTCCCGGGCATGTGGGATGGAGGCAAGGGAAGACAGAAGACAAGGGGGAGTCTCTGCCCACAGATGGCAACAGCAGGTGGGTGTCTTCACCCAGAGCTGGTAGCTGGAGGCAGAGGGAACATGACCATCACCCACCCGTGGGCTCTGTGGTGGTGGGGAAAGTGGGAGGGACGTCCACCTTACCATGAGCACCCCCAGACCATCCAGGGACGCTAACAGATGGTGAGTAACTGGAAGAGGGGGAAGAGGGAACTGGGGGGAGGCACACACCACACAAATACAGGGGATAGATAGATATCCCCAACTCTAGCTTAATATTGATTTGACATAATAGCTTACTTAGTCTTTGAAACCTAACCATGTCACTAAGTGAAGAGTGGCGTAATAGGGCATTATAGTTTTTATTTTTCATTACTTAATTTACTCATTTCCAAAATTCAACCAAAGTGGACTCAACTGAGCATGCAAGTCACTTACAATGCTTTCATTGTAGTGTTCAAATGGTTCTGCGTGTCGCATGTATACAGGTGATCTCCACCTTATCCTCGTACAGAATGAAGCTATGAGAAGCAGACCTTACACTCTCATCTTCATTTACCCAAAAAGATACCAGTAATCTGCTCCTTAACCTTGCCCAAGGCTGTTAAGCGACCCCTGACTCATGGTGAGCACATGCACCAGCCACAGGTTGCTGGAATATCTGGATTTTACCACAAAGCAACCAGCATCAGTTCTCCTTTAGAAACAAATTATTCTGCAGACACGATGTTTAAAAATTCAGTGAAGTGGCAGAAAACATACAAAATAAATGTAAAATATGTCCTTTCAAGTCTCTAAATCACTTTCAAAGTACTGGCTACTCAGGTTACCTTAACCACTAACTCAGAAAGTCTGCCTTCTGTTATTTTCCTTGGGGCCACCCACCACATTCTTCCCCCATCTGTTGTGGGCCTTATCTTAATCTCCCAGAAGTGTACAATCACTATCCAGGATGAAGTTTTCCTAAACTCCTAACTGCAACTTACCCCTTCTTTGGTTATGAACACAGGTAACACACGTTAATATTTACCACATCCATGAATGGAAATCAAGTATTTTCACATTATAGTTGCAACAGACCTCAAAAATTGTTTATACGCATCACAATACGGCTGCTTTATTAGGATTTAAGATCCTAATAAAGCATTGATACATATGAGTATATCTCAAACCTTTTAAAAACATATTTTGTGATTCATTTTGTTTATAACATTAAGCCCTGTGAAATAAAATTTAAAATTCAGATTTTACTTTGATTTGGAGTGGTTTCTCTTACCCATGAACCCATTATGAATAAAAGCCTTGCATTGCCTGAATTAACGAATGTAAAACTGATGATTTGCTCTTTAAACCTTCACCCAATTCACAAAAAGTTAAAAATACCAACAACAAAAAAATACCCTCAAAATAACAGCAAAAAAACTTTTAACTTTCCCTCCCACCTCACCTGGAACTGCTAACCTAATTGACATAAAACTTCTGACCTACAACTTAAAACCAAAATCACTGCTATGAAGTGATGCCGAACCAGAGTAACCCGATTGGACACAGTAGAGCTGTCCATGTGTTTCTGAGGCTGTAACTTTATGGGAGTAGAAAGCCTCATCTTTCTCCCGTGGAGCAGTTTCAAACTGCTGATTGTGCAGCTGGCAGCCCAATTCGTAACTACTCTGCTACCAAGGCTCCCTTGACTTAACGGGTCTCCATAAAATGCAACTGAATATGGGGTCTCTTTTCTCCGTAAACACATGGCTTTCTACTCCCATAGAGAGATATTCTTGGAAACCTACAGGGGCAGTTCCACCCTATATTATAGGATCTCTGAGTCAGAATAGACTTTTTGGCAGTCAGTTTTGAGCTTTTCCCCCTTAAAACAGCCATAGAAGTTAGTAACTCAACTTCCAGAATTAGCTATGTTAACCTCAGTTCTCTAGAGAAGCAAAACCAGTGATACTTAGATGTATAAGAAAGAAATTTATATCGCGAGAACAGCTCACACAGCTGCAGCAGTGGGCAAGCCCTGTATACAGCCCCTGGGTCAGGTGCTAAGCTGGAGGCCCTTTCTACACTCACATAGCTGCCAGGGCCAAGGAACCAGGAAGCAGCTAGTAGAGGCCACGTCAAATGAATCTGAGGTCAGCAGACAACATGAGAGGCCACCGGCCCAAGCCCTGAGAAGCCAGGTGCAGGATCGAGGCCAGCAGGAAGAAGGGCGTTTGCGACATCTATTTATATATACAATGTAGGCCACATCCCCAAGGAGACATCATCAGGCTGTGACCTGAGTAAGGGATTGCATGGCACTGTCTTCCACAACTGCTTGGTTGTTCACAGCAGTCCCACCATGGCTTGGTTTACATTATGTTATGTTGCATCATTGGGAGACCTAATTACTGAGAAATCCTGGTCCGGCCTAGGTAATGCAGATCCTAACTATTACACTAGCCAAACAGAGAAAATGAAGAACATAAACCATCCTCGAATAATTTTACAAAAATTGAAAAGATAATCAGGAAATATTAAATATCATAAGGGGAATCACATTTTGGAATGCAGTCCTGTAGAAAGTATTTTTAGACGTTTTAAGGAGCCTTGGTGGTGTATGAGCTGGCATTTGACTAAATGGCAGTGAGTTTGGTTTTTGCCTTGGTGGCACAGTGGTTAAGCACCAGAGCTAAAAGTTGGTAGCTGGAACAGCCAGCTGCTGTTTTCATTAAGATTCACAGCCTGGGTAATCCTATGCGCAATTCTATTCTGCCCCACAGGGTTGCTGTGAGCAGGAACCGACTTGGTGTCAATAGGTTCTAGACATGTTGGCTGTATGGGCTGGCTACACAGGAGCGCTGGAGGTGTCCTGAGTTATGCAGTGGGTTGCTAGTTGCATAGTCAGCAGTTTGAAGCTACCAAGGACTCCTTGGGGAATGATGAAGCTTTTTACTTTTGTCAAGAGTTAGTCTTAGAAACCCACAGGGGCAGTTTTGCTCTATTCTATAGGATGGTTATGAGTCAGAAATCGACTCTGTGGCAAGGCACTTGTTTAGTTTTTATTGGATATAAATTTAAAACAAGAACTTGATTTATATAATAACAACTGTCGACTCAAGAGAAAAATCTATTACTCTTAAAGCACCTATTAAATTTATTTTGCCACTTTTATAAACCCTAAGGGATTCAGAAGCATTTTACAGAAATGAGGGAGAAAAAGCTCACCTTTCCTCTAGTTAAGTGTGTTTGTATACAAATCAAAATAGTAGTCTTCCGAGGGAATCCTAAATAAACCTGAAACTTCTCTCGTGATTATCTGGAAGTTCCAAGGATATTTCACTTAATCATCATTCACCATACATTAATTTTTCAAAAAAGGAGTGTGAGTTGGACTATTCCAGTGAACATCGTTCTTGAATCTACATTCTTAATGTTAACTAGTTGTTACTGGCAAGTTACCTAAACACAGCGTGGTAAAATGCTTCAGAGACTCTTAATCCTTTTCTACTTGCTATCCCTTTCCCATTTGGCCCCAGATATTTCTTCCCACCACAGCACCGCTGCCAGAAGCACCTGATTGCTTATCTGTTTTATTTTGAATTAATTTTTGGACGCTGAGCATCCAGAAACCTTTTACTGTTGCCAAAATTTTCTCGACCCCCATATTCACTGGTCACAACCCACAGTTTAAGAAGCTTTAGTCTGTGTCAAAATGGATAGCCTCCCTCTTACTCCCCTCCCCCCCCAACACCGAATAATCCAGGGTTTCTGCTCATTTTTTCACTTAGTACTAGATTGTGCCTTATAGTACAACAGTTTTAAATTGCCAGGGGGCAAAGAGCCTTTTTTTTTTTTTTGGAAATGGGGGCAGTAGGCCAAAATAAGTTTGGGGACGTATGGCCCGGAGCAAAGATTCTTAAACTCCCTGCCATGGAGTTAACGCCGACCATGGGCTGAAAGCAGGGGTCTCGAGAATTTTGGCAACAGTAAGTGGTTTCTGAACGCCCAAAGACCCGAAATTCAAAATCAAACGGCTAAGGAATCCGAGGTGTTTCTGGCAGCGCTTGCCCATGTTGCAAAGACCTCAGCCGAAAGGGGATCGCGAGCGGAAAAAGTTTACGAAACCTTGGTTAGAAGATAACCAAGATCCATCTCAGGGCTTTTCTTTTTTAAAACGTCTGAGCCCAAAGCCAAAAGTCTACACCTGAACATACGTTCATTTCCCACTCCGTGGCCTAATATTTTTTTAGGTCGACCCGCTTAAGTAACGTTACAGCTTTCAAAGGAGAAATCATCGCTTTCTCCTTCTTCTTCCTCCTACCCGGCACAGGCGACCCTCTCCATCAGTTTCTGCCCCAGAAAGGTTTAGTCTGACATCCTCCCTCCCCACGCACGGAACAGACCCTTGTAAAATTGGTTTCCTTTCCTAAAGCCTTAATGAGTTCTCTGAGGGCACCCCCAAATCCTTTAGGAGGCCTGACTGACTGTCCTCCTTTTCAAGCGCTCTTTAAAAACCTCTAAGTCGCCTTTTAAACGACCAGAATCTCAGATCGGCACTCTCCCCAAATCTCTCCCCGGCCTAAGCCCGCTCCCTCAACGATCAAGTGCAACAGGATCTCAGCGCGGACGGTCAGCCCACCGAGCAATCCTGTGAATCGCTCTCCTCCGCCACATTCGTTTGCCCCCGCTCCAGCTCCACTCGCCGGAGGGGACAAGTTCGATCTTCACCCCCAAGCCCGCGTTTTCCAGGGGAGAGGGTGACATCGCGTCCCTCCCTCCCACAAACACACACACAGCTGCACGCACGCCCCAAAGCCCAGTTTAAAAAGAATTTAAAACTTTCACGCCACAGTACTGGCCCGACGGCTTCGGGCTGCGCTTACATTCTCGTCTCCAGAGAGGTCCGGATTGCTGTTCTCGTCACTGCTCAGCTTCTGCTTCTTGGCCACAGGCATGTCTGTTCCCGCCGGTGCAGTCGGCACTTCCCTCTCGGACATATTCCTCCGCCTCCCTCCAGGTTCCTGCCGCCTCGGGCGGGGCCTCCGCCACACCGCCGTCAAGCAAGCCCGGCCAGAGCTTGCCGTAAAGCTGCCACTGCCGCCGCCACCTCCACCGCTCCCCCCACTGTCGCAAACCGCGCCCAGCCGCCGAGGCGGGCGTGCGTGCGACCCCGCCACACTGCTGAAAAAGGGGCGCGCTCGCGCGCCCTCCCGCGCTGCTTCCTGGCTTCTTCCCCTTCACTACTCCCCTCCTGCCCTTTTCCCAATGTCCTCCGGCAATTTGCACGGAGAGGTATAATCGGTTGGCGTCCAAGGGCAGTATTTCGTACGTCCCTTTTCCCACTACCGACTCGAAAAGGAGAGGCAGAACTCAAAGGGATGCGCCCTCACCCCCTTTCTCTTTCCAAAGCCGTTTCAGCTGCAACTGGCCCAATCCTTCGATCCCCGACCCGATGCTGGGGCTCCAAAGTATGTGGAATGGCCGAGACCACCAATGTTCCAAACGACGGGGGAAATACGAGAAGTCACCTCTTGCTGCAGCTATGTATACCAAGTATATTGTAAGTCTTGGACTATGAGGATAGTTCTTTCATAGTATTCATGAAATCTGTCACAATTGAATTTCTGGTTGAGACTAGATATTCCAAAATTATAAGCTGATTTCCTATTGCCTCCCCCAACTACAAATGGAAGTTACCCACTATGAGACGCGCATGCGCTAGAGCGTATTCTCGCGTTTGGTCGGCCCGGACCCGCCTTCCTGATGCCCCTCCTTTTTTCAAAATCTTGTTTGCTGAACCAGGTTTCCATAGACAAGGATGGATTTCAAAGCCCTATCAGGTGATAGTCAGGATCCTCTAAGTTCTTCGTGAATATTTGTTCTGTGATCCTTGCATATAACATGCTTGCGAATTACTTAATGTAAAATGGCTTATTAAACAGCCCGTTTCATGATCTGTAGATGGCTTTTGGAGATAAGAAAGCACTCCCAGTTGGAGTTGGAGATTAGAAAAGGATGGGAAAGCAAAGGCAGGGCAGAAGGAGCTGTTTGCAATGAAGACCCAGGAAAAATGAGGGGAAATTTTTTAGATTAAGTTGAGATCTTAATAATTGCATTTATTTGTTGTATCCTAAAATGCCAGGTACTGCTAAGCACATCTTAGTTGGTGAGACCAGAGATGGGACGGATGGAGTCCGCAATGAGTTTAGCAGAGACAAACATATTTTCCTTGCCTATTTCTTTGTCCTTCCTTCACATTTGAAAGAATGTGAAATAACATCTGCAGAACTGTCGAATATGCAACTAAAGCATTTATATCCAAATTACTCTGGGTCTGGGATCAACTTCTAGTCATAAAATCAGAAAAAATGTTCAATATTGGAATAAAAGATACATATTGGAGGAAAATTACCTGTAGCATTATATTTGATTATTAAGTGAATATTATCTGGAAGAATGCAAAAATATTTTAATAGTATCTTATTAGAACTTGGAAGGATAGTTTTAAAATGTTCTGGTGAGTCATGCATAGTACATGGAAATTACTTAGTTAATATTCATTATTACTAATTTAGGATATGATACAATATCACAGGTATTCTATTTAGAGTTGCTCTGATGGTATTTTAATAAATGTTAGACGTTAAACACTAAGCTTCTCAACACTGAATTCTCTTTCTGTGGGGGATTTTAGGAATCATAGCTATCACCCACATTTTATAGATGAGGAAACTGAGCTGAGGGTGATTAAACAATTTACTGGAAAACACAGAGCTCTCCAGCTAGCAGAGCTGGGAAGCATTACTGTTCAAGTTTGCCTGACTCTCAAACCTCAAAATTTAGGACCCAGGCAAGTCTAGATTTGTTAATTCTAGTTAGAACTTCATCTTTAGGCCAATAATCTTACACAAGGGGGCTTCAAAAAGTTGTGGAAGTGACATTTAAGTGATAGGGAATTTTCCACCAACTTTTGAAGCCCCATTATAAATGAGACTAATTTAAAGTATTGCTACAAAATCATAGGAACCTTTAAGAAACTTTTAGTGTACAAAGGAGACCCCATTTTGAATGCAAAGAGAACATTTATTGTCATAAAAGAGACAAAGATACAGACACATCATCCAGATGAGGGAACTCACCAACAATGGGAAACCACCAACAGGAGGCTTAAAGAGTGACTGAAGGTTTGTTGGGAGTTCCAACAGGGACTATGGTGTCTACTGAGCATGCTCAGAGCTTTGGGCTGAGAGACAGGAAGGGGTGATGTACTAGGTGGGTGGTCCACCTGGATGGCCCACATCTAGGCCAGGTGGGCTTAATTCAGCCAATGGGGTCAGCCAGTTCCGGTGGACCATGCCTCCCAATGGGACCCTGAAAAGCCAGAAACTTTTGAGACCACAGCCTCTCTCCCAGCGGCTCCTATACAATTCAGCGTGGCTGGGCAGAGGTTCTCGTGCAGGTGGGCAGTGTCTCTCTCAGGTTGTGTTCATTTTACTGTATGCCTGAAACTGCTTCTACCCTTTATAAAAAACACACTTGGATCACAAACCAGGCTTCGGCATGAATTCTTTCTCATGCGAAGCCAGGGACCACGGTATTTCTCACTGGAGAACCACTGAGATTGGGGATAAATGGCATGGAGGAGGGTGATGGTAAGGAAACTGGAAAAATCATGGTTGGTAGAAAATCAATATATAACAGGAACAGGTAAGACTACAGAAGCAGGTACTTGACCGTGATTAGGACACATAGAAGGGGGTATCCCTCCCTCCCCCCCCAAAAAAAATGGGAACAAGCTCTGCTGGGCAGCGCTTTCATAGTACTGTATGCATTTTCCAGCTAGGCGACCATGGAGCAACTTGCTCTGAGTTGGTGCACCCAGTGGAATTGCCTGGAAAGGTTCTCTGGTCACAGTGAATTTTTTCATAATAGCAGTTTTTCTCACCTCTTGTTTTTTTTTTTTTGTGATGGCTGATTTAAGAGAACAGCATACGGCTTTTAAATGTTTCCTGCTTTGGGCATGGGGGTGGGGAAAGCTGCAGAAACTGTTGTGATGTTGAACACAGCACTAGGGGAAAAACTCAAGTGTATGAGTGGTTTTCTCGTTTCAAAAAAGGCGATTAATGACAAACCTTGTTCTGGACATCAGTCAATTTCCCAAACATGAAAATGTCAACTTGTGATACATTTGGAATTTGTTCCACCAGGTCAGACTGTTAATCAAGCTTTCTATTTAGAGGTACTGAAAAGATTGCGGAAAAATGTGTGACAAACATGGCCTGATTTGTGGCAGACGGGACTGGATTTGCCACCATGACAAGCACCTGCTCATGCAGTCATCTCAGTGCGTCACTTTTTGGCCAAAAATAGCATGCCTCTCTTGCCCCCACACCTTACTCACCTCACCTCACTCTGTGAGACTTCTTTTTGTTTCCATGAATGAAGAGGGACATGCAAGGACAGTGGTTGGCCATGTAGAAGAGGTGAAGGAAACAGCGAGGGAGGTGCCATCCAAACAGCCATCCAAACAGAGGAGTTTGCAAAGTGTTTCCAAGAATGGAATTGCAGATTTGACAAATGTATTAAGTGGAATGAAGAATACTTTGAACGTGATAAGGTTGTTTGGGGGAAAAATTTTTTTAATACATAGCTTTGGAAAAATTTATGGTTTTTTGGGGGGGCGGTACCCCCTCATATATTGTAGATCAAAGGCTTTACAAGATTGGTTCACGGCCTTCCACTCAAGGCAGTCAGGTCCAAACTGATAGGACACAACTCATGACTGTCGTACCCCCTGTACTGTGCCCAGTCTAGTGACCTCCATCACAGCCACCTTAGGAAACCCTAAGAGAGAGACTGCCCCCCTTCTGCACTGGTTAGAGAAAGGTGGAGGCTATCCCCTCTCCTCCCTGAGGGCAAGATTATATCCTTTCTTAATATCAGAAGGCATTCAGTGGAGGCTTACTCCATGTGGCGACACTACAAATGAATTTTGGGCTGCCACTGCCATCCATACCTTTTTGCAAAACAGGGTGTTCAGAATTTCAGCTCTAATGCAAAGTATATTTTAAAATGTAAAGCTTAGCATCTCCTCTGTTCAGGTCTACATAGTTGTGAAGGTGGGGTTTCCATCTCTAACCCTTCCTTGAGGAGGTCTGTGCTCTACATTTTTCACTGTCTCTAACCAGCAATCTTGGCATCTTCAAGGGACTGAAATCATGTTCCTTTTCAATGTTCTTTGAGTTTGGGGAGCAGAAAAGCCTGCTGGGGCAAGATCAGAACTGTAGGGTGGTGTAAGGTTTCTCAGTGAAATTCTCAGACAGCCCTTGCTACCCACGAAGAAGGAGCAAGTATAATGATGGGAGGGAGAAAACAATCCTCAACACAACTTTCTGGGCTTTCTTCTCACCAACACACCATTCTATTTTTTGTTTTCTTTGTTTTAAAACTTCTTCATTATAAGCACCACTCCCCTCCCACTCCCCATGATTATCCTTTGTCCTTTGAGAAAAATTAAACAAAAAACCCAAACTCCCTGCCATTGAGGCCATGCCAACTCATAATGACCCTAAGGGACAGGGTAGAACTGCCCTCTCTAGGTTTCTGAGATGGTAACTTTTTTTTTTTTGACTCATTTTATTGGGGACTCATACAGCTCTTGTCACAATCCATGCATACATCGGTTGTGTAAAGCACATTTGTACATTCGTTACCCACATCATTCTCAAAACATTTGAACCAAACCCTCAGCATCAGCTCCTCATTTCCCCCACCTCCCTCATGAACCCTTGATAATTTATAAATTATTATTTTGTCATATCTTACCCTGTCTGACATCTCCCTTGACCCACTTTTCTGTTGTCCATCCTCCAGGGAGGAGGTCACATGTAGATCCCTGTAATCGGTTCCCCCTTTCTAACGGTAACTCTTTACAGGAGTAGAAAGCCTTGTCTTTCTCCTAAGAAGCAGCTAGTGGTTTGAAATTGCCATTCCTTTGGATCGAACCCACTGCATGAGAAACATTACATTACTTTGGAATTCCAAAAAATAGACTCTATAATCTTT